GAACGGGAGTGCATATGGAGCTGGAGCCCCACTTTTCCCGAGCGAATACCCGATGAAGACAGCAAACCCGTGAGGGAGATACCTACGAGACGGCAGATGATGTGGACATTACAGTGTATCTCTTTGGATCTGAACGTGGGATCTTTAACTGTCATAAGTTGATGGAGACTGCTATACAGCAGGATCCTGTGTATGTGCGTCTGGGTGTTTTTAGACGGCTCCACGGTTCAAACGAGGTGGAGTGGTTGATGTTGCGCCGTATCAATCGCGAGATGCGGCCGCCTGATATTCCGCCTATTTCTCTTAAACTACCAGGGAAATGGACACTGCTATACGAGCGCTACAAGGAGGCAGCTATTCGTACGCTGTGGGAGGAAACGGGAATTACCGTTGATCCTACCAGCGTCTTTCCAACAGCACAGTTATACCAAACTTCCCCGAAGTATTACTGGCGTGTCCCTGTGCGTTATTTTGTTGCTGAAGTACCGCACGACGTGCGCGTGGAAGGACCACAGGTGGTTCCAACACAATACATGCGAAACTGGGATGTGCGTCTTCTCCGCCAGTCCCCGGACCCTATCGATCGTGCTTGGGCGCAGCTGGCGGACCCTATCACTGGATGTGCATGGATGAAGGCTCCCATGATTGATGAACTGCAGAAGCCACTTCGGGGTGAGAAGTACATGGCCACACGGTATACGCCACCGCCATACTCCAATCTTCAGGAGGTTGTGGGCCTTGGCGATGGTGACCAGGACACGCAGAATAAAGAAACCGAGGCTGCTGACCCAAATGCATAGCAGGAAGGAACATTAATGGTGTGTGTGTGTGTGTGACTGTGAAAGAATGGTGGCTGATCATCTTTTCTCTTGCGACTGGAGTTAAGTTTGCTCAGACGTCAGAGATGGACGTGCGTCGAGGAACAGAAGCAGAGGAAGGTTACGGGATGAAGAGTGGAACAAAAAACAAGTGGTTGGGAGTGGGGGCGGATAAATCGCTTGTACGTGTGTGAGAGGGAGGGCTGGAATAAAGCATTTGTCCACGTGGTGACCTCAACGAAAGGAGAAAGTTTTGGAGCGGGACGCGATAAAAAAAGGATTTTAGAGAGAGAGCGAGAGAAATGAAGGAGAGGAGAGAGGAGTGAGAGATTTGTCTTTTTGTTTTTGTTTCTCTGTGTGTGTCTCTGTTGCCGAATGAGAAGGGCTGCGTGTTTCCCCTTTCACCGGCGGCATCATTAGCGGTGCCCACATGCCGGATTCTCTGTATTCCCCTGTTGCCGTGTCACACGTTAAAATTCTACTTATTTGTTTGTGCAAGAGAGTGGGCGGGCGGTTCTGTTATTTTCCTGCCGCACTGGCGTGGCCACAAAAAAACAAACAAACAAATAAACAAACTCTGCTCTATACTTTTGTTTCCTTTTTTTTT